TCAATAGAAGATTCCCCTTACCAATGTCACGGCATAATCTTTAAATATTCAAGGAATGTACTTAGGGTAAGGTACCAAAATTCTCATAATACCCTAGTCACATTTCCCACATGTGAGGGCTGGTACAATAAGTGGCAGTGGGCCACTTTCAGGTGATTTACAACAAAGAACACGTATTGGAAATACAGCTGGCCACTTGTGAAAATATCTTCTTTGTATTCTTATGTGCCTAGAAATGCCACAACATTTTCATTCTGCTTCAGCATCCCAATGCCACGGCATTTTTCCTCGCATACTGTAATACCCCAAAAATTTAGACAATGACCAAAATGAAAATTTGGAAAGTTTGATGGTCAAAGTAGAAAATTTGGAAAAAAATTAGGGAATTAAGTAATAATTTCCTAAAAAGAATTTTATTCCATAAATAGATGGTTTACTCTTGAGAATGGAGTTTTTATAGAAATCATATTTTTGGATTTGGAATTTTGGTAAAGAAAAATTAAAAGGGACAAAGTCGTTAAGAAAATCGGTATTTCAGATCGAGTTAGAATTTTATGAAAATTTGAAGGATGTTATAATATGGTTGGAAATATTATTTTAATATTTTGGATTAGAGAAATTTGGTTTTGAAATATGCAATTTTTCAGATTTAATTGAAACATTGGAATTTAGTGACTAAAACGGAATTTTTGAAAATTCAAGGGAAATTTCAGAATTTAAAAGTCAAAATAATTCAGCTTTGACATTGAAATATGATAAGGATGAGTTGTCATGGTTTTATGGTAATTAAGAAGATTCATTAAGAGTGATTTGGTCATATCCCAATTAAATGAATATTATATTCATTTATAGTGAAATATAGAGTAAAATAAGATGAAATGCACCCAAATTTGCTATCTTCTTCTCCAGCTAAACGTGTGCTTCTTCAAAGGTAAGAGAAATTTTCAGCTCAAATTTCAAGTAATTTACTTAGAATTTTGAGTAAGTTGTAAATAGAAAATTGTTATACGTAAAAAAAACTATCTTTTGGTACCAATATTGCATGGTAATCTTGTTGGTGTTCAAAGATCCCAAATTTAAGGGTTTCATGTTCAAATTCATCTTGAGTTGATGAAGGGAATTTTGACTCTTGTTTTTTATGGGTTTTGAAGAGTTAAGTGATTTGAAAGAATTGGTTGTAAGAATTGATGAAGAACCTAAGAATGAAATTAAAGAAAACAGTTTGGATTTTGAATCTGAAAGTAGGTTCAAAAATTCATCAGAAATTATATAAAAATAATTTCGAGGTTATTTTTATTTATTGTGTTCATATATCGATCTAGTTTTGTTTTAAACAAATGGAGATCAATTTCAATGTGTGTACAAAAAGATATGAATTTTTAACCAAGGAAAGGTCAGAAAAATCGGACAGCGGATTCTACAAAACAGATTTTGTTGATTAACTTTGAAAATTCACATTAATTGTACATAATGAGTTAGAAGAAGTTCTTTATATGGATAGATTCGTATTCGAGTCTAGTTTTCAGCGGAAGAAAAGGAATTAAATTCCAATGTGTATATCAATACAGAATATTGATTCTTTAAAGGTGGTGCAAGTTGCTGGATTATGGAAATTTTAGAAAGCTTGGTGATTGTAATACAAATTTTGAATTGTTAGGAGTGTTTATTTTAATTGTGCCTTTGTATGGGTACTTGTTTTATAATACCTTCAATACTGGAATTTTTGGTATTAAGAATCTAAGTGATAAAATGGTGAATGACCATTTTGAGTAAATTGGAAAAGTGGGTTCCAATGTTAAAAAGGAATTAATAAGTACTGAATTATTTGGTGGAAATGAGTTTGAAGTATGCTATGGAATTATTTTGGGACATGTTTATGTAGTACATACTAACATATGTATTGTTATAAATTTGTGATTATACAGATTATGGTTGATTTGCAATTGAAGCAAGTCAAGTATAAAAAGGGTATATTGTGGACAATAGTGAGGCACAAATATTTTGAAAGATATAAAGTGTCAAGGTGAGTGTAATACATGCATGAAATTATACATGGATATTTTATACATCATCAGGAAGACTTGCGATAAGTCGACCTTGTTTATATCAGCATGTTATATGTCATTTTTTATAACTTTGACATGACATTGAAATGTCACGGTATGAAATCAAAATGCATTGATTATGAAAAATGTGATATTTTACCATGAATGTTTTCGGGTATGAACTGCCCAATGTTAAATATTGATAATATACTTTGCCATGGATGGATTGAATAAATAGACTATATGCCCAAGTAAGTCATTGAGGGACAGGGTATAGTTGGCATGCCATAGAGTATAGCAGCTGCAGGTTTATAATACACTTCGGTGTATATGGTGGGCACGACCTTATGGGTAATACACTTCGGTGTATATGGTGGGCACGACCTTATGTGTAATACACTTCGGTGTATATGGTGGGCACGACCTTATGTGTAATACACTTCGGTGTATATGGTGGGCACGACCTTATGTGTAGCACTACGGTGCAAATAGTACTCGAATACCCATGGTCCTCAGGGTTGTATATTGGGCTATAGGCTATGGTTTATGGTTTATTGCTTAATAAATGGTAAGCATACAAATAAGCTTACGAGCGTTTTGAATAATGGCAAGTATATGGGTAAAATAAGCTTACGAGCTTATGGGATTATATGGTAAGCATTTTGTATAAAATAAGCTTATGAGCTTATGGAATTTATATGGTAAGTATTTTGTATAAAATAAGCTTATGGAATTTAGATGGTAAGTATTTTGGTAAAATAAGCTTACGAGCTTATGGGATAAATGGTAAGAGATTTTATATTATTTTGATCATGGTAAAATATTGGATATGTCAGTAAAATGATTTTATGGAAATTTTGATTTTTGATATTGAAAATCATGCATGAATTGTATTGCACTGTTAAATGTTTTAATTGCCTCACTAAGTTTATACTTAGCGTGTGATGATTTTCACGCGTAGGTAAAAAGCCAATAGTGGATTAAAGAGTTCAAAGTGACATCAAGCATCGAGAGGTATATTTCAATATCAGTAAACCCTACGATGGAATTTGATTTTAGATAGTGGCATGTAATTTGAAAATGTTCAATTTATTTGTTGAATAAATTTTGGAAATTTTTATAGTGATGAAAGGTTAATTTTTATGTATTTTTGGAAGTTATTGTGGCAGTTACTGTTGCATGAACAATAACCACGGTTTTAAGTAAAATTTTCCAGAATGATTTTGGGGTATCGATTCCCCCCAATAGGGAACTGATTCCCCCACTGTTTATCGACACTGTTCACTATTCACGGGCACTGTTTATAATAAAAAAATCTTTTGAATTAAATTTGTTATGATAAATTATAAATTATATGGAATGATATTTTTATAATATCAGTTACCTTTTTAAGAAATTAAATTTTAAATCAAGTTTTGAAATCAAATGGTTTTACAAATTCGGATAACATCTATAATCTGTATAGGTATAATTATATGGGTTATGGGTGTTATACACACCCTTTGGTCCTTGAACCTGCACATCAACATTCAACCAAACCTTCCCCATAACATAGCACCTTCACCAAGTAACTTGCCAAGGTAAAACACATCCCCCAAATGCAACTAAATTATTTTAGTCAGTCAATAACTTAAGTGAAAATGTCTTAAATATAACCTTTTTATGGAGTTATCATAATTTTCAAAAATTACAAACTAATCACCATAATTAAACAATCTAGGTTTAACATGAAAAATTGACCTTAATTCCAATGATCCTTGTTAAATTTCACCATTCTAAAATATGGAAATAATATTTTTAACTTTATTCTATTATCCTTCAAATTTTCTCAAGCTTCCTATTCGATTCGATTATCCGAATAATTTACGGAACTTTATCGTTTTATAGCCTTTAATACAAGCTTCGGATCAAAAATTTGAAACCCACGAAAATATAATTATTGGGGGTGAACTATTCATTTACAGGCTAAAATATATAACTTTTGGAAATTATACTTTTATCCCTAAACTTTTACCAAGTTTTTTCTTTAGCCACTAAACTTTCAAAAATTACATTTTGGTCACTAGCCCAAAAGTTGGGATATTACTCTATTTTTTATTTAGTCTTTTAACTTTGTATTTTACTCAATTTGGTCTTTTGACTACAATTATTTGCAAATTCTTTCTTCTCATCAATTCTCTGACTCCTCTATGCTCTCATCAATACTTTAACCTCAAAATACCTTCTTTAAAATGTAATATTGTAAATATGTTTTATAAATTTAGATTGTAATTGATATATTAAATAAAATTATAATGTGAAAAGAATATGAAAATATAGATCTTACATGGTAAGAGAAAGTCAAAAAATTAAAATTAAACTTTTATGTAATATTATAAATAATTATAATAAAATTTAGAGTAAATTACACATTTAATACCTAAATTATCAGTTTTGGTCCATTTTAGTACAGGAACTTTCAATTTTTTCAAAACCATACCTAAATTTAGTTTTTGTTTTATTTTAATACCCCGTTCAAAATTTAACGTTAAGCTTTGAAAAAGATTGAAAGTTTAGTACTAAAACGGACCAAAATTGATAGTTTAGGTACTAAACGCATTAAATTTTTAACGGCGAGGTAAATGGAACAAAAACTAAACGTTAGATATGGTTTTGAAAAAACTGAAAGTATAGGTACTAAAATGGACTAAAACTGATAGTTTAGATAATAAATGTATAGTTTACTCTGAAATTTATATAGAAACTCGAATAACTCAACCAAATTTTAAGTTAAGTTTGAGTCATAAAATATGACTCGTCAACTCGAATAATTCGAAATTTTTTGACTCGACTCAATCGGTTGTTCACCCACATGGATATCTGACATTTTGTAAATTAATAAAAAAAATAGTGTTAATTTTAAAAAAAATAAGTTTTAAAATGGTGATATTTTGGTAAAAATCCCAGGTAACTGTACAAGTACATTCGTCTCTCACTGCCATCTGCCGGCTATCTTCTCTGCCCTAATATAAGACTGTTTAGGGTGCTTGAAATCTGATCTTGCGATCTTGACTCTCAACAAAGTTTTAATCATGGTAATTCCTTATCCCTCCTAATCCTTTTTTGGTTTATTTAATTTTATGAGGTTTTAATCTCTTCCTGTAAATTCGACAAATTAAAGAACATTTTTTAGGCTTTTGCTTAATCATAAAGGTTATTATTCGCTTTTGAATTCTGATTAGCTTTTTTCCCTCTTGGTATATATGTTTGGTGGTTTTGATTTGCTGTAATTTCATTTATGTTCGTTTTTGTTTCTTTGGCATTTGATCTTATTGATATGATTTATGCTGATTTTTTTATGTTCTCGTTAAGGTTCTTCTACAGCCAGACCCGTTTCTTAATGAACTTACGAGCATGTTTGAGCGAAGTACTGAGACCGGCTCTGTTTGGGTTACTCTTAAACGATGTAAGGATTTCCCGATTTGTTTAGGTTTTGGGAGCTTGAATTTCAAACCATGGATTTGGATTGCAGAATTAGTGTTGATATTTGTAAAAAAATTAAATTTATGGCAATAATGTTGGATCTCTACAATTTACACATAATGTATGCATTTTAAGTTTTGAAATCTGAATTTTGAAATTCATGTTTCCAGCCGTGGAATTCAATTTATGTTGGATCTCACAATTTATGTTACAAATGGAATTCAGATCTAAATTTTGAAATTCATGTTTCCAACCATGGCATTATTTTTTCTTGGATGTTTTCTATATTAGATATTTATTGATGCTTTTAGTTTTTCATCTTCATTAGCATCTTTGAAGTCGAAAGTTCAAAGGAACAAACTAAAGACTGCTCAGCAACCCATTGAATATCGATGCCTTGTTCGTGCAACTAATGCAAAAAAGACAATTTCTACTTCGGTATGTCCCCTTTTTCCTTTGTGTTTAGTTTGTTTGGTTAAATGGATAAAATAATTGTTTTTTTAATTTAAAATTTACCTGGTGGGGTGAATGCATTGGTTGAGGGAGTCTATGAGTATTTGTTTATGTATGAAATGAACAAACCAATGGTAATCTTCCTGGAATAGTAATACATTTCTGTTGGGTACTCCATTTGAACCTTGTATATCCGGTATGATGAATTATATATAGCACTGATGATTGATCTGGTATGCATTATGCCAGACTTTCTGGCACACTGAATTGCTCTTAAACACGAGTCTTGTTGTCACCAGCAAATAAACACATTGTGATCTCCATGGATGAGTAATGCATATCCATTGGAAGCTCCGGATCAAGCTGTCTAATTCTGGTAGATGAAATTATATGGCACTCATGATTGATACTAGCCCTAGATTTAAACCTTATTATTTTAACTTGTTCCTAGCTCTGGATTTATATATCTAATAATCAATAAATAAGACTAAAATAACAAAATAACATGATGGCAAAGCTCCTTTCTCAAACAAAAAAGCATTCGGTTGAGTTGATGGGAATTGCGATCTTACCCAATGTCTTAATAGTCTAGCCTTAAATCGAGAAACCAACTTCTGTACTGATATGCCCCCAAGTAGTGCAAAATTGGATAGGATCCAAAGTAACCTACGCATTTATTCTTGTTGAAACATAAAGGTTGCCACATTGTGTGTGAAGATTTTAGAGTTTCAGATGGTATTTGATATCATGCATCAACCCAAAATGAAATGTATTTCGACTTGTACTAGCCTATATTATTCTGACTTAGTGTAAGTGCGGGATACGTTATTCATCAGACTTGGGTATGCTCAACTCTTTCCAACATTTTGCTTGTATTTGGAATATCATTGGAGATGAATAACTCTTGCCCTCATACCTACATCCAAATATGCATTGGACATGAGCACTTGTAGAAAAATAAAAGAAACGTAGAACATAAAATCCAAAACCAGGATGTTTCTTTGATAGCATTCAAATGCAAATCCTGTAAACTGGCCTATTTTTTTATGTGTGCAAGCTGAAAATGGTAGTACCATGAAGGCAATACAAGTCTATTGATTCTCGGACTGACCTTGTATTAATGTGTTTTTGTTTGTAAGGTGGGAGCGAAGGATCACCAGCGCTTCCAAGCATCATATGCCACAATTCTGAAGGCCCATATGACTGCATTGAAGAAGAGGGAGAGAAAGGACAGGAAAAAGGCAGCGGAGGATAAGAAAGAAAGTGGTTCAAAGAAGCCGAAAAGGGCTTGAAGGACGTTTACCAGCGGTTGTTCGAGCTTTCATCCTCTCGTCGAAAATGGTTAGGTTATTTACTTGTTCTTGAAACCCTCAAAACATTCTTTTGGTTTAAGCTAATTGCAATGATTAAAGACTTGGAATTTTGGTTGAATTCCCCTTGGGTATGATTTCAGTAGATTTTTTCTCCTTTTTCAACAGGACGAAAGGATTTGCCAGATTTTTTTTTCTTGATTCTAATAAAATGATAATATAGATATAAATAAAACGTAGATTATAACTGCATGTGGTTGAAGAATATCCACCATCGGCAAAAGTTCCGAAATAAAATAAGTTGGTAAGGGAGGGTTATTAGGTGTACTGAGAGTGTAAAATATATTCAGTTTTAAGATTTTAGCAAAAGTAGACAAATGGAAGGTTTTTTTGTGTTTTATAAAATGTATGTATTATATCTGAAAGAGCAGCAAGTTGCTACAAATAACAAAGAATCTAACAAATAAATTTAAATTTTGATATTTATGAATGTGGCAAATTGAGTTGGGAGAATCACTTCTATATTGGATTTTTACAATATCGATCCGGATTTATCGATTAGTAAATTAGATACTGGTGATTATAAAAAAGAAAAACATATAACTAACCAAATCATATACATGCATACATATTGTAAACAAGAAATGGAAGTATATCTAAGAATAAGTTTAGGTGTTATTCTATAGTTACTGCAAGTGACATGTCTATTCGAGAGTGAAATGCAATAAGATTTGTTTTGCGATTATATTTATCTCTTTCAACATTGAGTTACCTTTCATGTCATTTCTCAGGTACATATATCTTGGAGAATATATTTTATTCGTCTTATTATTAATCACATCTATTTTTTAGTGCTATAACCTTTTTTATGTTGTCCTGTTTTTATCATTATAATTTTTTTAATAAAAAACCGCTAGTTTTATTAAAATATAAATATTCGGAATTACAATAAATTTTTACAAATATAATCGTAAACTAAAATATAATTAAGACATTTTCCTTTAACTATTGATACAAAAAATTAGTCACCTAGATCACACAATGACCAAAGAAGAAAAATGTTAAAAAACTCCAACAAAATATAGATACGAACAAAAAATTAATGGAGTCCTTATTACCCGAAAAAATTAATTAGAATTATTCATTAGTTGATCGTTATTTTCTATTGACATGTTTAACATTCATTTTGGGTGAATTAAATCACAAAAGTATAAATAAATTTCTTCTTTTATTATTAACTTTTCAAAAGTAATTTTTTTTCTTTTATTATTGAAATTTAAAAAGTAACAAAAAGGTTGGGGTTTGGGAGAGACAAGGTTAGTCCCTTTGAACGAAGCGTTCCTTATGAAATTGGCGTTTCGTCTAGTGTTGTGTAAAGACCATATTTGGGCTCGGATTCTTAGAGGGAAGTATAGGTGGGCCGGTTAACTTCCAGTTTCAATCTTTCGGAATGGTTGTTCTCTGCTATGGCGTGGAGTTAGTTAAGTATGGGTAGGGGTGTTCATTCGGTTAAAACCGAATCGAAATATCCTTAACCAAATTAACCGAATTTTTTTTCTTTAACCGTTAATCGAACCGAAATTTTTTCCGAAAGTATTAACCGAATAAATTTCGATTAATTCGGTTAAATTTCGAATTAACTAATTTTTTTTAGAATTTTCGAATTTAATATTTTTAATTAAAAAACCAGTTTACAATATCTAATTAATTTGATTCAAACATTATATTAAAATAAGATATATGTATCTATTTGTGGATTACTTGTCAGATTCAAAACAATCATCTTCAGTTTCAAATCCAATCTTTTATTTAGATCTCTCACTATTTTTGGATCCTTTTGACTGCCGGAGCTGCATGCAAGAATAGGCCCTTTGCTATTAAGTTCCTTTGATTTTATTACTTATTAGCTTAATATGGACTATTGGTTATTGATCACATTGCTGCCATTAGATTTGATTTCACCCTTAAATGTACTGTATTTTTTATGAATTCCGCATGATGGCCTTTGTACAATGTAATCTATTTGTTGTTGGTAACAAATTTCATTAAGAGAGCATGGCAGTTGTGTGTATTACCCTTCGATTTGCAGAGTACTTGAACGTTTCTGTTCGGGTTCCTTAGTTATTCGCTTAATCCGGACTGGCAGTTTCGGTCATTCATATGCTACTTCACTGCCATTAGATTTAGTTTGCCCTTAAATGCAACAAGTAATCTGCAAGTTGAGGGATCGTCTTTTGTGTCTATTTCCCCACTATTTCCCCAGATCTATAAAATAAAACTCTCTATGGTTGCCTGAGTCAATGATACCTTAGTACAATTGATAAAAGATGAAGGCCTGAGTCAATGATACCTTAGCACCTCATCCTTTGTTACTCTTAGCACTCTCCATGTCCCCAAGATGCTGCAGGCAAAAGGAGTCGTTTGCGATCCTTTGTTACTCTTCGATATAGAAGAGTTGCGCACATTGAGTAAACAGATTGCAAGAACTGACGTGATAGAAGATCTCACAGAAACGGAGCCTCAAGATGAAGAGAATCCATGATGGATGGCCTCTCCTAGCCTGATTAGAGTCCCTCCTTTATATGGCCTTGATGCATGTCCACGAAAATCTTATGCCCATGCTCCACTACACTGTTACCCATGCCCCACTATACTTTTGCCCATGCCTTACACAAAGCACAACAGAATTGATAACCGGAGCACATGGGGCAGCATGGGGGTGAAAAAGATATTAAAAAAAATTTAAGGGTTAATTCAGTTAATTAACCGAATTCGAACTGAATTAACCGTTAATCGAATATCCAAAAAATCATTAACCGTTAACCGACCGAATTAATTCGGTGGCCGACCGAATTAACCGAACTAATTCGATTCGGTCGGTTAACCGAATTAGTTCGAAAATTTGAACACCCCTAAGTATGGGTGGATGTGCGAAGTGGCATTGTTTGGAGATTGGGTAATGGGACATGGGTGGATTTTTGACAAGATAATAGGATTGATAATGTTGGTTCTCTCCGAGATAGGGCGGGGTCGAATGGAGCTTTTCTGATGAATGGCGTGACGATTAATTCTATGGTTACGGATGAGGGATGTTGGTAATGGCCAATGGGAAGACATCGAGCCTTTCGTTTCGCGCTTGGCATGTATGGCACTAGCTGTCATTAAACCCCCCATGTCCAGCTGTTGGTATGGACTGCCCGGGATGGAGCTGGGATAGTCGATATCGTTTCACTGTGGCTAGTGAGTACTTGCGGCGAGTGGACCCTGCTGATTTGAACTCCCACGATTCACCCCTTTGGAGGTTGATCGCAAGATATAATGGGCTGCCGAGAGTTTTGTTATAGTTAATTAGTATGGGTAGGCTAATGACGAATGAAGAGAGTGTTCGGCATCATTTTACGGATGATCCGAGCTGCTCAATTTGTGGTGCTGCTGTGGAGTCCATATCCCATGTTTTCCGCGAGTGTACTGCAGCGATGGCGGCATGGTCGGTGGTGATCAAGTCTGAACGGCTGGATGAATTTTGTAGTGGTAATATGCAGGATTGGCTATTACAAGATCTTCAACAATCGTGGTATTATTCGAGGACCGAGGATAATTGAGAGTTGTGCTTTGGATCAATTTTATGGTGTTTATGGCAGCGAAGAAACCAAATGATTTTTTTAGCCAAGCTTTGCTGATAGAGAAAGTGTTCTTCAAAGTAGCAACCGCCTATGCCTGGAGGGGCTAGATATGAAGGAGCGCCATGGTGGAAGATCGGAATCTGTAAAGCTACGAGATCGTGAATCGGATGTGTGGCAGTCACCTGCTGAATATTGGCTGAAATTAAATACGAATGGTGGGCGCCATTCATCGACAGGTACAACCATATGTGGAGGAACTTTGAGAGATTATTTGGGAAGATGGTGCTTTGGGTTCTCGAAGCTTGTGGGATCGTGTTCGAGTCTTGATGTGGAGCTGTGGGGAATATATGAGGGGCTTGAATAAGCGTGGAACTTTGGGGCTCGTCGGATTATCTTTAAAACAGATTGAATGAATGTTGTTTCACTTTGTAGGCATGAGGGGGATGGAGTCCGTTCATCCCATATGCTTCCCCATGTTGAGGCGCTATTCCGTCATAATTGGATTGCGACTGTGAAGCATGTGTACTGGGAAGGGAATCGTGTCGCGGATGATCTGGTAAAGCTGGCTCGTACTGCTTTGTCGAGGTTGAACTATTTTGAGCTTCCGCCGGCTGAAGTTGCAGATTTGGTTTATGCAGAAATGTGCACTGCTGCTTTGTAACTTTATTTCTCGATCTAACACCCTTTGCAGAAAGGCGCGGCCTATGTATCGCGCCTTATGCTGACATGACACCACGTTGGGTAAGGCACAGTGCATGGGTCGCGCCTTCTACCACGTAGGGTATAGTGTGGTGTATGGGTCGCACCTTCCTGACATTCTGACACGCGTCAGAATGGCGCGGTGCATAGGTCGCGCCTTCGCCTTAAATACGGCCCCCCACCCGCTCGTTCACTCCTATCCCACCCTATAAATATCTCTATTCTCAATCATTTTCATCACACAAAATCTTCTTTAATTTCTCTCAAATACTCTTAAATTCTCTCATAGCTCTTTAAGGTATATTTTATTATATTTAATATTTTGTTAGTATTTTATTTAATTATTTAAATTTTTTAATATTTTATTTAATTAATTTTTTTTGTAGTTATAAAATGGAAGCTGGTGTGCTTCGTTTGGATAGAAATCATATATCTAGACATTATGTTGATATGGTAACATTTTTACATTTTAATTTAATTTAAATTATTAGTAATAATTTAATTGTTTAATTTTTAATTATTAGTTTATAAATTAATTTTTATAATTATTAATAATTTTAAGAGAGCGACCGTATATTAGATCCTTTTATCTAGAACCTTAAGTTAGTGATACCAACCCGTGTCTGGTCGTATTTACTCGAGGCTGGATTCAGTCACATAGCTAGATATGAAGGCCATTGTAGGATAGAACCAAACTTGATTTCTGCATTAGTGGAGCGGTGGAGACCGGAGACTTACACATTCCATCTTCCGTGCGGAGAGTGCACGATTACGCTTGAGGATGTTTCCATGCACTTAGGGCTTCCGGTGGATGGAGATGAGCTTTCAGGAATGATGAACGAT